TATATATATATATATATATATATATATATATTTGTTAGTCTCTAAATTGCTACAGGACTATTTGTTGATGCTTTAAAGTTATAGACCAACATGGCTACCCCTCTGAGAATGTTTGGAACCATTAGGAAAGGGTTAGATAATTAGAAAATACCATAATGTCACTATATAACTCCATGGTATGCCCAAACCTTGAATAGTGCATGCAGTTCTGATTGCCCCATCTCAAAATGATATATTATAAAGAAAAAGTAAAGAAAAGGGCAACAAAAGCGATGAGGGATGTGGAACAGCTTCCATGTGAGGAGCGATTAAAAATACTAGGACTGTTCAGCTTAGAAAAGAGATAAATAAGGGGGGACATGATAAAGGTCTATAAAATCATGAATGGTGTGGAGAAAGTAACAAGAAAGCATTCCCCCTTTTCATAATACAAGTACTACCAGTTACCTAATGAAATTAATAGGCAAAGAGTCAACCTGTGATGTTAGTTGCCAGAGTCTGTGAAAGCCAAAAGTATACTTCGCTTCAAAAAACAATTAAATAAGTTCATGGCGGACAGGGCCATCAATGGCTATAATCAAATGTGGTCAGGGATACAACCCCTACCTCTTCTAGTACAAGTAAATGAATGAAAAGTTGCTATCTGTGTCCTACTATGATGGGATCAGGCACCATCTGTCCATTTAAACACTGCAATGGAAAATGCATTCACACATTTACTCCAGGTTTAGTTTCTTACTTTGTATCAAGTTCACCAAGCATCAGCTACCAGAACAGAGTAGGTGGCAGTAGAGTCTCAAAGGGTATATCTACACAGCAGCGTTTTTCCTATTAACCTACGTTATTGTGAAATAGCAAAGTGCGCGTCTATACTACAAGCCATTATTTCGAAGTAATGTCGAGCTGGAGGACTTCTTACTCCGACTCCTGTAACCCTCATTTCATGAGGAATAAGGGAAGTCAAACGAAGAGTGTTCTTCCTACAACTTCCTGCTGTGTAGACAGCGCCAAAAGCCGTGCTTAGTTATTTCGACTTCAGCGACTCACTTGACGCAGCTGAAGTTGCGTATCTTAATTCAACTTTAGTCCTGCTGTGTAAACATACCCAAATAGACCCTGGCTCACAGCATAGCTGGAATTCCCAGTCACAAGTTCTCCCCAGTCTCTTCCTGTTCACAGCAGAGATCTGTGTGTCAGGCTCTGGTGGGATCTCTGCCAAGTATGGCATTCAGCTCATTATAAAGTAAGAGGTTTGTGGCTTAGCACCAAATAATTTGTTGCACTCTAGCCTTCTGGTATGCCTGCCACAGTTCCTTTATTTTTGTTATTCTTCCCCAGCTCATCTGAAGAGGTGGGTTTTGCCCATGAAAGCTCATGATATATGAGCGAGAGAGAGAATGTGTTCGTCTCTATGACTGTCTACTCTACACACTTATTTCAAAATAACTCACGTTATTGCGTCTACACAGCAATCCTGTTATTTCTTCCTTTGACATCCTGCTGTATAGACAGCATGAAAAAACGACTTCAACTTCAGCTATGCAGTTAACGTAGATGAAGTTGCATAGCTTAATTTGATTTTAGCCCGCCGTGTAGACGTACCCTTTGGTGACACAGGACATGCATTGTTTTTAAAGTTACAAACTAACACGGCTATCCTTTGAAACCATTCCTTTGCTTTCACATGACATTGCTACTGGTCCCTGCCAGATCCCTTTCACTGGATCCCCTGTGCAAACTGCTCATAGATGTCCATGTTTCTACAATTGATCTGTAGTTGTACCTAGACAGCCTTTTTTCCCTCGGCCCCAATAATCTAGTACTTCCCATATACTCCCAGTAGAAGTGTATGTGGTGCTTGTAGCTGCATAGATTCTACAGCCAGAAGGACCATTGTGATCATCTAGTCTGTCCTGCTGCGTAATACAAGCCATAGAACTTCCTCAGAATAATCCGAAGAGCCTTAATTTAAACATAGGCTGTGATAATTCTTGGTAAATTGTTTCTGTGGATAATTATGCTCACCATTACAAATGCACATCTTATTTCAGTCTGAGTTCGGACCATTCTAGCTTCAGCTTCCAGCCACCGGATCATGTTTATACCCTTCTCTGCTAGATTAAAGGTCCCATTATTAAATATTTGTTCCCCATGTAGGTACTTATAAATGGTAATTTAGACACTCTATTCCTACTCAAGATTCCCTTGTTTATGCATCCAAGGATCACATTCACTTTTTCAGTCACAGGGTCATACTGGGAACTCTTGTTCAGCCACCATTGTCCCCAAATCGTTTTCAGATTCATGGCCTCCCAGGACAGAGTCTCTCATCTTATACCTGTGGCCTACATTCTTTGTTCCAAGAGATGAACTTATACATTAGCTGTATTAAAGTACCTTTTTTTGCATAAATACATTTTACTAAGCAATCCAGATCACTCTGAATAAGTAGCCTTGTTTTCTTTATTATTTAGCACTCCTCCTTTTTTTTGTCAACTGCAAACTTTATCCATTGACCTGTGGTTGATTTGCATTAATTACATTACCCTCCTTTAAGTTCTTTATTAATCAAGTTCCATATCAATCACTCCATTGTCTTGCCTGGAATCAATGCCAGGCTGACAAGTCTATAATTACCCAGGTCATCTAGTTTACTCTTTTTAAAGACTGCACAACATTAGCTTTCATATAGTCTTCTGGAACTTCTCCAGTGTTCCAAGACTTCCTGAAAATCAAAGTGGGTGGTTGTGCATATCAAGGGAGAGCTGTTAGACTGGTTCCTCAGGAAAAAGCATTTCAAAAATATGAAAAGATTCTAAAGAAAGGAGTGGCTGCCTATCTCTATAGCTCCTGGAGTTCACAACTGAAACCAGAGCAGTTAGTGTTGGGCATTGTGGGACTGCTGCTGGAGGACTGGTACAGTCCTCATCGGTCATTCAGTGTCTACACTTGCACTGCATTGACCACAGTAGATCATCAGTGGCCTCATGGGAAGGTGGTGTCACTGCATTCCCATAACAAGCAAAGGCGCCATTTTGGGCACGTGCAGGGGGAGGGGGCACCATCCCTGCACTCCAGGATGCAGCTTGCCTTTCATCCCGTTCCCTGGACACTAAGGGAGTGAGGGGAAAGTACTTGCATTCCATACATGCCTCTCACACCTGGCTGGTGAGCTCCCTTCAGCCCATATAGGCTTAATATTCCTTAGTATTCTGGAAAAATGAACTTTCCCAAGCCATCCAGGAAGCAGCCTCGCTGATTCACTACAGCCTGCATAAACAGAGAGTAGTAGGAAAGGACTAAGGGTGTTGCCTGAACAGGATGGGTAAGGCACGAAGTGGAGGTGGGGAAAAGGCAGGGATGAAGCATTGGAAAGGCATAAGTATATGTGATATTTAATAATCGCTTTCTCTCCGTGCCCATATCTGCAGGCAAATGCATGTGACATTATGTGTTCTTATCTTTTGTTATTGTCCTGTGCTTGCCATCTCCACTTCTGGTTTCTAAAATGTGGTGCCCTTTTCTATTAAATAGCATCAGTCCTAATGAGATTACCACCTAAAGACTCACTCTCCATACATGCAGAAAACATTTACACTTCCATTGTGTGAGAGATCAAAGCAGCAGGGGTTGCAGATTTTTCCCCATATCAAACCTTCGGGGCTCCATAATATTGCCATAAACAGAAGCAGTCTGACTTTGCTCCTTATTCATTTTCACACAACATCAAGGCAGCTGTCAGTTTTAGAGGGAGGTTTCTCATGAGAATCTGCTCTTAAATGATGGCCAAACCTCCAAAAGCTCACCGGGATTATTTGGATAATAATTCAAAAGCAGAGATGCTTATCCACAACTCTTGGGTCACGCCAGAAACCCCCCCCAGAAGAGAGATTATTGCAGAAATGTTTATTTCATCTGAGGTTGGAAAAACCATGGGAAGAAGCCTCCTCACAAGCTGCTAACTGTCCTTTGCCCCTACAGAACCTGAAATAGCAGGGAGCAAGGGCAATTCAAGCCATCACCAAAAGGAAAAACATTCTTTGAACCTCAAAACATTCTCTTATTTGTTTCCTCTTTTGGATTGACGTTTCAGGTCAGTTCTTATTTGATATACGGATGGGCTTGAATCAATATCTTCAGATCTAACTGCCTCCTAACTTTGAATCCAAATCCGGTACAGCTGACCCCATGGGTGAGGGGGAGCCAAACGAAAGCCCAGGGTGTAAACACCCTTGCTACGTCTAGACTGGCATGATTTTCCGCAAATGCTTTTAACGGAAAAGTTTTTCCGTTAAAAGCATTTGCGGAAAAGAGCATCTAGATTGTCACGGACACTTTTCCGCAAAAGCACTTTTTGCGGAAAAGCGTCCGTGCCAATCTAGACACGGTTTTGCGCAAGAAAGCGCCGATCGCCATTTTCACCATCGGGGCTTTTTTGTGCAAAACAGTTTTTAGCTGTCTACACTGGCCCTCTTGCGCAAAAACATTTCTGGAAAAGGGCTTTTGCCCGAATGGGAACGTCAAAGCATTTGCGCAAGAAGCACTGATTTTGGACAGTAGAACGTCAGTGCTTTTGCGCAAAATCAAGCGGCCAGTGTAGACAGCTGGCAAGTTTTTGCACAAAAGCAGACGCTTTTGTGGAAAAACTTGCCAGTCTAGACGTAGCCCCTCAGACTTATGGGAAGGTTAGATGTGCATTCTGCTTTTGTCACACAAGCCCGTCATGAATTTACCTGAACCAATTGGCAATTCCTAGTCAGTATTATTCAGGATAAAATTCTCTTTCCCAATCCATGTTATGGATCTACTATTTATTTTGCACACAGAATACTGTGCTCACATACATGACAGTGCTGGACTCCTTGAAGATAAACTTAAAAAACAACAAATGGTCGGGTAGCACTTTATAGACTAACAAAACATGTAGATAGTATCATGAGCTTTCGTGGGCACAACCCACTTCTTCAGATGACCGGAGTCTTCAGATGACTGGAAAACTGCGGTCATCTGAAAAAGTGGGCCGTGTTCATGAAAGCTCATGATACTATCTACATTTTTGTTAGTCTATAAAGTGCTACCAGACCATTTGTTGTTGTTTTTTAAGTTTATCCTGTACAGACTAACTTGGCTACCCCCCGAAACTCCTTGAAGATAGAAAGACTTGCTTTTGAAACTCTTAGAAGTTGAATGGGATGAGTACAATGTTCAATAGCTGCCTTCAATACCAGGGAGAGAGTTGTAGTACAGGCTGATAAGAATTTTGTTCTTGGGGGTTATATTTCTTGTAAAGGTTTTATTTTAAGGCAAATGCTACTTGCAGTAATAGTACCTAGTGATCTAAGTCTGAAGTACTGGCAGGCCGGTCTTCTGTCCTCAGTTCAGGAGAGCAACTAGGATCTGCTGAGTTGTCTATACTTTCCACCTAAGGGTTCAATCTGCATCATGCTCTACTCTGTGCTGATAAGGCCTCAATTGGAGTACTGTGTACAGTTCTGGGCACCACATTTCAAGAAAGATGTGGAGAAATTGGAGAAGGTCCAGAGAGCAGCAACAAAAATGATTAAAGGTCTAGAGAACATGAGCTATGAGAGAAAACTGAAAGAATTGGGCTTATTTAGTTTAGAAAGGAGAAGACTGAGAAGAGACATGATAGCACTGTTCAAGTATCTAAAAGGGTGAAAAAAGGAGGAGGGAGCAAATTGTCCTCCTTAACCTCTGAAGATAGAACAAGAAGTGATGGGCTTAAATTGCAGCAAGGGAGGTTTAGGTTGGACATTAGGAAAAACATCCTAACTTTCAGGGTGGAATAAATTGCCGAGGGGGGTTGTGGAATCTCCATCACTGGAGATATTTAAGAGCAGGTTAGATAGACATCTATGAGGGATGGTCTAGATGGTGCTTGGTCCTGCCGTGAGGGCAGGGGACTGGACTTGATGACCTCTCGAGGTCCCTTCCAGTTCTAGTGTTCTAATTCTATGCTGGAGGAAGGATATCTTTCTTAGCCATAGGAGGAGCTATGGCAAATCCATGTGCTGTGGAGTACAGATAGTCATAATATAGTCTAGAAATCATACACAAACATCTGGAGAGTCAGGATAAGAATCCTTGTTCCTAAACTGCAGAAACATTGCCCTCTTTCACATGAGCTAAAAGAGAGCTGGTACTAGCAGTGAAGCCTATAGTCTCTCTGTGAACTCAGTCACTGAAGGACAGCATTGTTCACTCATTGGTGCCCAGAAAGTTCAGTACATTACAGAACGCTATTTAACAGTCCCCTAGTATCCCTCTTGTAGCTGTTTTCTAAACTTGCTGCTCTTTTTTCTCTTGGCCATTGGTCCCACAATGAGCTTACAGTTCTGGTGCCGCTGAGCCATAACATTCATTTTTGTGCAACACCTAGGTGTACACATAGTCCGTAAAGTGCATTAAGCCTTGACTTTGCTTTTCACTAACCCTTTCCATCTGCAGATCTCAAAGCACTTTGTAGATATGAATGAATTATATCTCACATAATGATACCCCCTCTGAAGAGGTTCGTTATAATTATCTCCGTTTTACAGATATGGAAATTGAGGCACAGAGAAGGGAATAGCTGGGAGCAGAAGCCAGAAAAGAACCCACTCATCTGAATTCTCTATATGCGCATTTAACAAATACAGGGCAATTGCTTGTACAGTATAATCGAATCAGGTCTAATCTAAGGACCTCTTCAGGATACACTCAGGTCCCCACATCTTTTCTCATGATTGTGTCTTAGTGAGGAGACTGCCCTTTGTTCAGTGACCAGGACTACTTGGCTCATTATTCCTTAGCTGGAAACATGGCAAATCAGGATTAGAAGCAAAGGAATGGGCTGCCAACATGCCTGAAATGGTTTTTCTTGAAGAGCTGTTGAGCATGGCTCATATGAAGAATGCTGAAAGGGAGGGATGCAGCTCTTTGGCAGAGAACAAGAGTACTGAACATTTAGAGCCGCAACTAACCTAGTAGTATGGCTTTCGGGTCCATGGAAAGGTATTTGTTCATTTCATGACTCATCTCGTGCCCTGTGTCCAATGGAGTGGAAGTGGGTTTTTTTCACTGTATGTTGCAGAGAGATATGCTGCTGGAGCAGAAAAATCCAAGCAGGATGTTTAGGAAAAAACCTTCCCTTAATGGATCCTCCGCCACCCCAGTAAATTATTCAAGTGAACCCCACAACTTTTCATAACAAGTTTCCATTTATAAATACTTATTAATATGTATTGCATTACCAGGCACATTATAATATGCTGAAAGCCCAGCAAGAAAATGTCAGGAAAGCAACTGTGCATCTGTTTTGACATAACTGCTATCTGCAGGTCTCTTTACTCACCCAAAAGGTCTCTGTGTGCCCATTCAACTCCAAAATAGATTTATTGCTTCTCTCTGCCTGACAGATGATGAAATGAATATGTGTTCCTTTTCTGCAGACCCTCCAACTATCACCGAATCGAAGAGCAATGAAGCTGCCACAGGACGACAAGCCTTACTCAAGTGTGAGGCATCAGCAATGCCCACACCTGATTTTGAGTGGTACAGAGATGACACCAGGTAAACATATTGTCTGTCTTCTACCTTAGTCTGCCTCCTTCAAATGCTTAGTAGATTTCCCCCTAGGTCCTCTAATGTCATATACAAAATCATCCACAAGCTTATATAAGGTTAAGATAATCTCTTATCTTATTCCTTAATACAAGCTGAGCAGGACAGGCCTGCTCAGGTCTTGAGTAAAACCCTGCTTATGTACTGTGCATGCTGAAAGAAGTACTGGGGGTGATTCAGTGGATGGTGCTCTTGCCTTTGAGTCCATACTGGACCAGCATGATGGTGTGGGATTAAGACATTGTCTTTGTGGTGATCTACTGACCATTTATGTTAATTAAAGATCTCATGACCTTTGCACAAGAGCAGATGGTATTAGTCCTAGTGCTGCAGCCAAATTCCAATCAAGGTAACTAGAACATGCTTCCCTGAACTCTAAAGGAAAAGGTTGTTTATATGCAACTTTCTCTGCATCTGTATGACCTTCTTTTTAGCATACGTGCAACATTCTTTGATGACCCATGACCAGGATTCATATTCAAATATGGTCAATTGGCTGGATCTAGCTTTCCCAGCCCTGAGCCACTGCAGCTGTCTGTCAGCATGGGAAAGTGAAGCAGGGGAATAACACCCTAATATTGCCTCTCCCATGGGATTCACACCTTACACTTGTTAAAAAGTGAGTTTTATGCGGCAGGGTTTCAATTCAACCATGTAGCACAGGCTAAAGTACAGTTGCCTTATCCACACTGCCATTTTAGAACATGTCCATTTGCACATGGTAGCTAATGTTCTAAGAAACACCTTTTAGCTCCATCCCATAAACTCCTGGTTGAACTTGGTTTTGATTATTGGCAGTATCCCTACCCTTTATCCCAGGGAAACACATAAGAAATGCAGTGATTGCACTGTAAGATGTCAGATGGGTGTAGCATCTCTTGTTTCCTTCTCCTCTGCTGCCATTTTACACTATCATTTTAATCCACCTCTTTTCTTTCTGTCAATTTCACCCAGCCTTTGCTCTTCCACTACTTTCATACTTTCACATTCTGCTCCTCCAACCCATTTCTTCATTCCCTTCTCTCTTATCCCGCTGTCTTTTACCACCCATATCTACCTACCTACCTACTTACTTACTAACCTTCAATTTGCTTTTTCTCCTTTTTTCCTCACCTGCTCTTGTCACCTCTCCTTCCATATAATGGGCACTGAGCTACTTGTTCTTAGTGCACTACACGTCTCTTCTCTTTGCTTCTCAGGATAAACAGCGCCAATGGCCTGGAGATCAAGAGCATGGGGAGCCAGTCCCTCCTGATGGTGGCCAATGTCACTGAAGAACACTATGGCAACTACACCTGCGTGGCTGCCAACAAGCTGGGAGTCACAAATGCCAGCCTATACCTTTACAGTAAGTATGGAAGTGTGCAGGGGGACTCCAGGTGGCTCTCACAAAGGTCAGACTGTACCTTTACACTGCTTTAGAAGAAAGACCCTGAATTCGGGTACTTAAATAACATTAGCCCACCAAATTCCAATTCACTGCACAAGGAAGAGAGAGACGCTGCTGGAGCAGAAAAATCCAAGACGGATGTTTACAAAAATCTCCCTTTGGGGATCCTTTCCCCCTCCCTCCGTTACATTATTTAAGTGAACCCCACAATCCTTCATAGCAAATTTCCATTTATAAGTACTTATTAATATGTATCACATTACCAGGCATATAAGCCCTGCATGAAAATGTCAGGAAAGCAACTATTCATCAGTTGTGACATAACTGGTATCTGCAGATTATTAGGTAACAAACACTTCCATGTTTGTAGCCACAGCCAAACACAAACACACGAGAGGAAAGGGTTATGTTCAAGCCTCTTTTATGCTATGAATGACTTCCTTTGCTGCAATCTGGTAAAACAAGAGTATACATATTTTTAAGCAGTGAACAGAGTGACAGCTCCTTTAATAGGGATATGGAATATTGGGGCATGAAAGTGCCATTTTTCAGCCTCCATGGAAATGTTGAAAGAGATGGAGAAAAATTACCAGTGAACTCAGGGATGGGACAGGAGAGCCAGAGAAAAGAGAAATAGGTCTGAAAATAGAAGGAAGTGATACAAGATGGCCAAGAGTAACTATGTGAGAAAGGGACCAAGATTATTTAAAGAGATGTTCTACATTTTGCAAGAACCACAGGTGGGGAAATGGAGGCCTTACACTAATGGTGGAGTGATTAGAATATAGTGAAATACAGAGCAGGTTACAATAACTATGAACTCAGTCTCCCAGGTTTTGATCCTGCTGTCTTTGAAGTCAGCAAAGGCATTTCTAGAGACTTCAACAGACATAAACTTGGGCACCAGAACTAGAGATGGGCTTGGACCCAAACCCCACAATCCCTCAAGGGTTTACAGAATCCAAACTTTACAGCTGGTCCCCATGGTCTATAATGGATCAAGCCTTTTTGGATCTGAATTCAACACCCCACCCCCGACAAACTTGGAAATATTTGAAATCTAGTTCTTGCTGCAAATACTGCATCTCTGGTCCATCTTTATACAGATATCATCACAACAAATAGAATGTAAGAGAATGATCTAATGAGAGTCACAGACATGGAAATAAATGAGCCTGCCTTTCTCTGGAAATACAGGATTGTATTAGAATATATATATCTATGACCTCTCTAGGCAGAGCAGGAGATAAGGCCTATACGAGAATCTCATTTTGATAGGTTTGTTTATGCTTTCTGGAGCCAGACTGATCAAAAGATAAGAAAAAAAATAGAGTTTTTTAAATGGAAAAAATGATGCAGCAGGGATGGAAGAGCTTGCTGACATTTCTGCATTTACCAGACTTTTGGATTTTTAATATTTTAATTTGAAGTTTTGTAAATTACTTCAATGGAATGCTTTGGAATGCGTCATGTAAGCCACTAGTTCCAAGGGTAATAAGAGATTGATATGACTTTGGCTACATGAAAACTTGTTGCACACACAAGCAAGGTAAGTTTCTACTTCAAAGATCTTTTTTGTCCTGCTCCTGGAGAAATGCCAGTGGATTCAAATAAAAATCATAGGACTATAACCTGGAACATGAACCTCAAATTCTACAAAAATTGTTCTTAGTACTGTTATTACTAAAAATGCCAGAAGTAGGACTCATCATTCGGGCTATGTCTAGACTACATTCCTCTGTCGAAAGAGGAATGTAAATGAAGCAAATTGAAAGTGCAAATGAAGTACAGATTTAAATAACCTGCACTTCATTTGCATATTCGTGTCTGAAAAAATTAGGAGCATGGGTTCTTTTGGAAAAGGTTTTTTTTTTTTTTTCAAAAGAACCCCGTCTAGACTGCGCTTTCACTTTTAAAAAACTCTTTTTTGAAAAAGCGCTTGAATGCAACTATGCAAATGAAGCACGGGATATTTAAATCTGCACTTCATTTGTACTTTCGATTTGCTTCATTTACATGTCTCTTTTGATAGGAGAATGTAGTTTAGATGTGCCCTTCGGACTAAATTGTGAATTTGATAATATAAGTTTTCCCCTCATGTTGCAACCCTTCTACATGTAAAGCCAACAGGCTGTAGTCATCAGCAGGTGGGACTGAACCTGGGGCTAAAGCCATGTTTCTCAACCACAAAGCTCCTGGCCTTTAGCTGAGGCTGCAGAGCAGACTTCACTCTCACTCTCAATGGTCTCAGCGCCTCTAGGTTACATATAGATGAACAATAATACTTAACTGAAACGAAATGTAAGATCAAAACTTGTATAGAAAAATAGAAATACTTTGCCTGCCTGTCACTCCTTGCCTCTGAGGATCTCAAAGCATTCACAGACAGAGGATATTTAACCTCACAAGCTGATGGAAAATGGATGAGCAGTATTAGCACCATTTTGCAGATTGGAAAATGAGGGGAAGGGACTTACCAAAGGTCACAGTCACTGGCACTCAGTCACTAGAAGAATCTGGGCTGCATTCTCTGAATAGGCTTGTTAGTGATGTCATTCATTGTATCAGGAAAAACATGGAAATCATTACAGATAACCTGCAGAGAGGATATAAATTGAGCTTGTGCCATCTTTTGCTTTTTTAATCATATACCACAAGACTTATCCAGCAATGCCCAGGTCCTTCAGGGTAGGGGGCTGACAGTGGCTGACAGTCCAGGAGTTAGGATAGGAACTTGGAGATGTGGGGGGCTCTGGGTAGGAGGCCAGGAGTGTGGCAGGTGCAGGAGTCAGGGTGGGGGGGGTTGAGGAAGGGCTCAGGGAAGGGGGCTGGGGATGTGGGGTGGGATGGAGAGTGAGGGTTGGGGGAGAGGAGGAGCTGTGGGCAGAGGGACTGTCATAAGAAAAACAAAGAACACAAGCCAGCTTAAAAACAAAAACAAAAAACCTTAACCCATGGCATAGTAACCTAAATAGCAGCCACTGAACATTTTCAGCCCCATGCCCAAGCATGAACAAGTATAAATGATTTGCAAGGTACAGCCTTTGAGTGATTTTCTTCTCTGGAAGCAGACTGATTGAAACAGCAGAGAAAGATGTTATATTTTTAATCGAGAATAAACTCACTCCAGGACAGTGCCCCTTCTGAGATGGCAGATGGAATAGTGGTGCCTGAAGGTTCTATAGTGTTTGAAAAATGACAGCTGGTGAGACAGAAATAGTGCAATAGGGTAGTGGTAAGATATATGTAAATGTGCCTGTCACTGAAGAGGTAAAAGGAACCCACAAAATTATTTGACAGTACGATCCAGTGAGAGAGAAAAAAGGGGCGTGTTCCAGGAAATACCAAGCACCATAAAAAAAAGTAAGAAAGAGCGCAGGTCTTTACATTTAGACCCTGTAAAGAGAGATACTACATTAAAAAAAGCGAAAGAGAGAGAGACCTCGTGCAAGGGATATGGAAGCATCACTGTCTGCTATAGGCAGAAAAATGTATGTCCCTTACTCCTGGTGTTCTCCAGAAACAGAAGGATTTATTTCAAGAAATAAAGCAGAGTCAGATGGATGCTAAAGGGGACTGTGTTTACTGCAAAAAGTGTGAGGAACTACAAGAAAAGGACAAGGTACATAGGATATGGCTAGACTGCAGGGGGATTTTGGGATACCCTTGGTATCCCGAAAAAACTCCGCTGCGTCCAGGGAACATGTTTGCTCTTTCGCTTTTTTTTCCAGAAGAGAAAATGCACTCTTTCAGAAGCCCCTGTATTCCTCATTCCACAAGGAAGAAGGGAGCTTTCAAAAGAGGGTTATTTCTGTAATTTGGCCCAGTCTAGATGAGCCAAATTTCGGAAAAGCCTCTTCTGACAAAAGTATCAGAAAAAGATACATCTATCTTTTTCCGATAGATCCTCGCAGTCTAGCCGTACCCATAGTGTCCCTGTGTATCTGGGATGGAAAAGAGTTCTGAGAAAAAGATCAGAAATATACATGTGGTGTCTTACATAACACAGTGATGGAGAACCAGTGTCAGAAGTGCTAGGAACATTTTTCCTATATATTCTATGAAGGAAAAAAAATTCCTTTCATTCCCTTGAATTAACAGGCTGCTTTTGGTAAGTGTATGAGCAAGACTATAAATATATCTAAGCCCTTGCTACACACATACACCAGATATGTATCCACACACAAACATATAAAGAGGTAGATAAGCACACATACAAGTATACCCACCCATTGTAAACATGCACATGCACACACAGTTTTGTGTACACACATGCACGTGCACATCACTCTTTCAAATACATTCCAATGAATTATAGAAACAAAATGGAAGTTGTCCCCTCACACCCTGGGCCAGGTCTTCTGCTGATACAAATCATAATTCACACCTTCTGAGGATCTAATCCACTGATGAGGGATAAAGCAGGAATTCCCAGTCACTGGTTGCACCTTGCACTCCTGCTGATTTTATGGTCTGATTTACAGTGAGACAATCATCTCAGTGGGTGTGTCTAGACTACATGCCTCCGTCAACGGAGGCATGTAGATTAGCCAGATCGGCAGAGGAAAATGAAGCCGCGATTAAAATAATCGCGGCTTCATTTAAATTTAAATGGCTGCCCCGCTCTGCCGATCAGCTGTTTGTCGGCAGATCGGGGCAGTCTGGACGCGACGCACCGACAAAGAAGCCTTTCTTGATCGGCACAGGTATGCCTCGTGAAACCAGGTTTACCTGTGCCGATCAAGAAAGGCTTCTTTGTCGGCGCGTCGCGTCCAGACTGCCCCGATCTGCCGACAAACAGCTGATCGGCAGAGCGGGGCAGCCATTTAAATTTAAATGAAGCCGCAATTATTTTAATCGCGGCTTCATTTCCCTCTGCCGATCTGGCTAATCTACATGCCTCCGTCAACGGAGGCATGTAGTTTAGACGTACCCAGTGATCCTGCCTCCTCTCCAGT